TTTTTTTTTCAAATTTTCATGTCGTTTTCATGCATTGTATGTCCTTTGATCATGTTTTTCGACTGTTCGATTGATGTTTTTGACCATATATTGTTATCACACCCAAAACAGTGATATTCCTTCTAGTTGCGATGTTAAGAGGAGGATAAGCATATGCTTCTGCTTCAGAATTTGCAAGAGCGTTTCAAATGTTCTACACTAGCACTAAAAGCTAGTCCGAGGCGAAGGTATCACATGCCCGCGTTCGCGAGCTACAACCTCTAACAAACACGCTCGAACACACCCTTCGTAGACGCTTCGCACAAGATGAACCGCTGCCAGGATCGGGGTTTGTAAATGAGGTCATTGGAAAAATATGCTGATTGTACGGCATAAAGCTCTTTATGAGCTTGACGTGAAGCCTCTTAGGATTGAGAGGACTTCAAAATGACAGTGACATATACAACAACGATGTCGAAATTGTGCTTTAAATGACAAACGGTGATAAGTGCGGAAAAGCTGTTTAGCGTCAAGCTGAGATGCCTTAGGCGTACAAGCACAACCTTTCACATGCAAGGTGAACTATGAAATCTCATTTCCAATGACGCAAATCGTTGGTACTATGTACCTAGTTTGCAAGGGTCCATACCTTGGTTTTGTGGATGTTACTTTTACTATTCGCAAGTTTTGTAAATGAAACTGTTTAATAGTAGTTTTTAATGAAAGCATCTATTTCAGGTTTGCTTTAGAGCTAGATATAGAATTTGAGTACCCTGAAACTATGGACGGCTTCAGCAATAATCAACAGGCAAGACCTTAAAAAATCAGTTTGTATATTCCGAAAAGGGTGGGAGTTTTACCAATCTTTTCGTGACATAATTAGGATGAGGACCAGGGTTTTCCTCATGCTGAAGAGCGCATAGGCTCACAAATCAATCAAAGTAATTTAGTCCGGCAGCGCTAACAACGATGGAACAAGACAAATCATGCTAAGAAGTCCGGAATCGTCTGGAGTAAGCTTGAGTCGTTTTTATAATCAAACAGATAGATACTACGATTCAAGATGGGGTGATTTAGCATTTGCTGGACCCAACCGCCACCGGATCACCAGATCAAGGACCGTCTCACTCCCACCTGGTAATGTTGTTTCTTCGAACAACATGACGATTAGCAATCACTGTCGATACCAAGCGTCAAAATGAGAGTAAGACTTACAGCTACGTGATCTACAACCATGCCGCTTCCGAAGTTTGACATTCGACATGTTCCGGTGTCATGAAGACCCTTCTGCACCAGGAAGTTCTGCAGGGAGCCACCTAGATGAACGGGCGAAGGAGATTATAGGCAAGGTCCGGGAGTTTTTCATTGAGCTGAAGAGACAACTAGGGGATGAGGCCAGCGGCACCATCTTCAATTCCCCCGCTCAGCTAACGGCGTTGGCCTGCGGAGTTTCGGCACCGACTGTCCGCAGCTGCACCCGACGTGGCAGCATTTCCAACCCCCAGAGACGGGATCGAAGAAGAAATCGAAAGCAGCTGGCTGAAGCGGTAGTCAGGAAATACGGGAACGAATGGGGGGAAATTGTCCGACATCTCATTCACGGGAAGCTGCGACAAGAGGCCGACGTCACCACTGAAGGAATTCGCGCCGAACTCCAGGAAGCCCACCCCTCTTTCAAAATGTCCCACTGTACTTTTTACTACTTTTTACGGGGATTGGGCTTTTCCTACAAGATCAACCGAGGCCAACGCATCATATTCGAGCGCCCAGATCTTGTGGAGAAGAGAGCGGCCTACCTCTTCGCTGTAGAACAAGCAAGGAGTCGTGGAAGCTGCCTCGTTTTCATGGATGAAACGTGGGTATTCGATGGAATGACCAAAAAGAGAGGGTGGAACGACAACAGTATCCCTCTATTTGCACCCGCCTCAACATTCCAGGAATATTCATACGGGAAGACCGCAGCAAAAAATAAGGGGCGAAGAGCAATCGTCATCGGTGCGATTACTGAGGAAGGTCCAGTCCCCGGCTGCACTAAGATACTCGTCAGCGGTTACAGAGAAGCTGACGATGATTATCACCGTGACATGGATCACGTAGTGTTTGAAGATTGGGTGCGGGAAGCTATACCTCGCATGCGCATCGTAGCGGCTGGGCGACCTCTTGCACTGATTCTAGACAATGCCCCATACCATAGCCGACAGCTGGAGAAGGTAAATTCAACCTCGCTGTACCAGCTGCGCATAACATAATATTCAGATACCCAACCGATCTTCGAAAAAAGCCGAAATTGAGGGCTATCTTAGGGCACATAATGTAACAGTGGGGTCAAACGCCACCAAAAACGATCTTTTAGAGGAGGTATAATTTAACCCGATTCATAACTCCTATAATATAAATCCACTCCAGCTCCGCCATTTCATAGCAAGCAGAGGCGGCATAGATGCATTACGCAGCTACGCCGTTGATACCATCTGCGGCGAGCATGGGATTGCGGTGATTAGGCTACCGCCCTATCATTGCATTCTCAATCCCATCGAGATGTGCTGGAGTCAGATGAAAGCGCACCTCTGCAGAGTAGGGAAGCCAGGGGACACTTTAGAGTTGGTAAGAGCTTTTCTCACTGGCTCTGTTTACGCCATAGAGAGGAAATTTTGAGGTGAGGACGAGGACCGCGGAATGGATGGAAAGACTGCCAGCGAGTATGTGCGCCAGCTGGTTCCAACATGTTGTTAGTTTGGAAAACGCGGCGAAGTTAAAAATCGCCGCGGATCGAACTAACAACAACAGCAGCAGGGAAGCGCGGGGGTGGGATTTCGGAGATGCGTCTTCTTCCGATGAGGAAGACGCACCCGATTTGGATGAGGATCTGACATACTTCATGCTATGATACGTACCAGTTTTATTGTATAGTCAGTCGTAGTCTTTATTAGAGAGTAGACGAGGATATGAGAAATCTTATGTATAGTAGGTACTAATTGGTTGTAGTCATTGTCCTTTAGCTGCATTTATTTCAGGGTAGTTGATAACGGGTAGTTTTGATCTCATCAATAGAAGTTCCTTTTCTCTTTCACTTAAATCCCTATTTACCGTCTTTCACTTTGTATATAGTATATATATCCAATTCCAATAAAATGAAGAACTGAATATGTCTTGCTGTGTGGAAAGAAACTTAAAGATACTGGGGATGGCAAAGAATCCACTGCAGCGTCAGCAAAGCGTCCAAATACGCACATAAAGACACCTTTTATATGTGCAGAAATCTTCAGCTTCTGATACGAAAGCTCCGCAGCTTAGCGGTGCAGGAGTCCCCAGAATAATGCTGCAAGGAGGGAGGGAGAGGGAGGAGGGGGGGGGGACGAGAGCAGCGAGAAGGGATAGAGGGTAAACGCGAGCGGTGGGGGAGGAAGGAAGGCACGAAATCATGAAGGGGGAGGGGCAGCAGGGAGGGAGGGG